TTGATCGTCATGTTTTTCTGACTCTGTCCAAAGCGACAGTGGAAAGAAAAACTCCCTTTGAACAGGAAGAAACCTCCAGCAGAACCAGGCTCAGTGTGAGCGGCCATCTGCTGAGGCCCACTGGGGTTCAAGGAGACAGAAGCAGACATAGAAAAAGAAGCATAGAAGCTCTGATCTATGAACACTTTCTATGCTAGAGAAGGTGGTAATTCCTAAAGTTGGCTGACTGTAGACGGAAACATCTAAACGGATGAGCTCTGAGCAGAAATCAGAACCCTGTAAAGTTCAGCCAATAGAAGCAGGCGTTCCTCAGCCAGCTAATCCCGCCTGAACATCAACCTTTGCTCCTTTCAGGAAACTTTGAAGGAATCTGAACTCCTCGGTCTAACTAACGTCTCTCTGTCTGCAGGCTTCGTGCAGAGCAGCCGTCTGGTGTAGCTCATCAGGACAGACATCAGGGGACGGCTTCCATATTTCAGCCAATCAGCAGGCAGACGACAATAAGAGAAGAGCAGAAGCTTCCTGACTGAACCCAAACTGACTGACCAGCCTCCGTCGGATAAGAAATGTTGGTTGACGAGTGAAATGTAGATATAGTACATCCAGATGTTTCTGGGTAGAGCAGCTGGACCCGCCATCATCAGTGAAGAAACTGAAGCCAATCCATAAGAACCATGAGAGGAGGAGGAGGATCTGAGCTGGGACTGTGGATCAGCGGATCTGAACAGATAGTTCTGTAAATATGAGCCAATGGAGACCCAGCTGCCTGCGCTGCTCCACCTATGAAGGAGCTTCCTCCTCTTCCTCCACTCACTCATCAATATATTCATGCTGTGAAATGTGGAAGTATTGATTTAATAATTAGCCAACTGACAAGTTATTCATTGAATGATTTTTTTTTATGCGTCTTTAAAGTTCAAACCTTTTTGACTTCCTGTATGTGAAACCTTCAAAATAAAGTCCACTTTGAGTTGATCTGTTGGGTCTCCGGTTGCTTTTCCTCTCCTCTGGAACGTATCCTGGGAGCCACTTATTGAAGCAGCCAGACGCATCCTGGACACGATCAGGAAGGTCGCACAAATCCAACACACACACGGAGAGATAAAGATCCAGATGAACAGAATCTACCAAAACGCAGACCCACCTGAACCTCTAGACCTACCTGCACCTCCAGACCTACCTGCACCTCCAGACCCACCTGCACCT